AAAACAAGCGGCACATGGAAGCATGATCGTGATGTATGACCTATATGATATTTTACACCTGTATCTTTTGAAAGATCTGGCAGGTGATTTTGGTTRGCACAATTTTTTTCTGTATGGCAGGGTCCCTTAACAAATACATGAGTTTTTTTAAATTGCTGAAAATGAATATTTCATTGTTCTAAGCTTGTAAGTACGTCTTTCTCTCCATAACCCACATCCATCCTTTCAAATTTCAGAAACATTGAACAGCGACATTAAGCTCATGGAACAGCAAACGTTTAGTAAAATGGTTAAACTCCAGTAAAAATCTTTGTGATGTGTAAGCTTTCATGAACCGTTCAGACATTCATCGCGCATTAGAGCGTTAATATTTTGAAATAGTTCATATATTTACCCTCGAATATCCAGCTTGTGAGCTTTATGTGATTCCTTAGGTGCGTTAGATTCTGCTTTCAATACGCAAAACAATCATCATAATGCGTTGATATGTAACTCAAAGCGTAGCAGAAGTATCTCAACATAGCACTGATAGCCAATGACGGTGATCAAGGAAACTGACTGCATTAGCAATATTGACTCTTTCCTTTTTCAGTTCTTGTTTACTTGAAAAACAAACTTTGAAATTCTTCATTAGTTCATCACTTGGTCGTGACATTAAACGATGGGAAAGCATTTTTCCTTTTTAGTGTCTTGAACAGGGTCAGGGATTAAGACCGCTGGCTGGACGTACCGATCTAAAACTTGGTCGAGTACCACCCCCCCCCCCCCCCCCCCCCCCCCCATCCTTTTCGTACACCACTCTATTCCCACAAGAATCCTTTCGCAAACAAATGAGATTACTACAACATTCTTACTATGTTTCACGTGAAAGAGATTTGACAACCAATTTTGTCTCTCTTCAGTAACACTTTGCTCTCTAGAACTCATACTTCAAAGTATATTTACATTTTATTTATTCATATTTCAAACTGTTGATTTAGAAGAATTTTAGATGATTTATCTACGGCTTTTCATGCGCGTGCCCTGGCATTGTGTGACATGGCTCGTTTTGGCTACAATATAAAACACGTTGTGCCACAGGCAATCCAAGCAAAGCATTTGATTCAACATTTTATGAATGTTCCAGGCGGCCTTGCAGCCTCGGACATGTAAACACTTTCTGTGTTTGTATTCCTGTCATGTTCGGTATGTATATAATGTCTGATTGTTTCCATGGTACATACGACCATAGGCTACCCAACTATTGCTTGAGAGAAAGAAAAGAATGAATGCGCACGCTTTTATACTCAAGTATCGGCGCGCGCTCTTAGTGAAATGCGGATTACCTGTGGTATTACGTCACGATCCCGTGTCTCGCGGGATTCAAACAAGTCTCTATAACAAGGTATGAAACACTGGTCACGTGATGGACCGATGTGTGCCCTAAGTGTCTATCCCTCCCTATCGTTTTTTTTCGTATGGACTTCGAGATCTTATATTATCAATAAGCTCTGTCATTCTAAAAATATGCCAGGGGTGACACAGATTATATGTATCAATGCTAAAATTCTCAAATACTGTTTTTTTCTTTATTGGTGGTAGTTGATAGAAATCTCCTCCTGCAATGATACTTATTCCAGCATGGTTGTCAGGAGGAACAAGTCGATTACCGTGAAGAAGTCTGAAGGAGTTGTTCCAGACTTTAGTACGTTCAACGATCTAGTAGAGAGTGGTGCGTTTGGTGATCCTCGTCATGTGACTCAAGTGGTGAAGGTCAAGGGGGAATTTGTAGTCTCCTTTGATTCTGAGGAGATCGTGCAAGAAGTGGCTTTAGAGTACAGAAAAGAGACGGCCAGTGGGACTTTTTATGTCGATGCCGTAGAGCAGAAGAGGACGTATATAAAGGTGTACGACCTGCCGTATGAGCTGGATGATCCAGATGTGGAGAATGCTTTTAAGGAATATGGAACAGTGGGAAAGGTGACCAGAGACAAGTTTCCGGGACGATCTTGGAACAATGGTATTAGAACAGTTCCTATTATACTGGGGCAGGATGTTGTTGTTCCGAATAAACTCCTCATCGAGGGATTTGAATCAAGAGTACTTAACACGAGTCTTCCGTACTGTACTTTGTGCAAGAAGAATGGACATACAAGAAGGGATTGCCCAGAAATGACGTGTAATAACTGCGGTCAACTTGGCCACTTTTCAAATCGCTGCCCGGATGCTCAGTGTTCCAGGTGTCATGACTTCGGTCACTGGGCACGACAATGCCGCTCGGGGTTGGAAGAGAAAGGCAGAACTGATGGGACGAAGCAGCAGGGAAAGAATGGACCGGAAAAGACGACGTATGCGGCGGCCGCCGCTGGAGCTACCATGGAGAGGAACGGGAGTGCTGATGAGGCAGRTTCTGCGGAGTGGGTTACTGCACGCCCTGCTCCGGGCGTGAGGAGGTCATGGGGTGATAGATGTGAGCTTGCTGAACAGGGGCCGGCGGGGGGCGTTTTAAAACGTCGTCACCGGGAACCGTTGCCAACTGAAAATCGTTTTGGACCTCTTGATAATAATACACAAACGGATAGGAACATCAACCCAGCTGCTTTCAAGAAGGGGGAACATTTGCTGAATGAATATGAACAAATTTTAGAATCTAGTGATCACATGGATGTTTCGAGCGGTGCAGCCACCTAACTTCAAACCTAGGTAATGACTGATCTGTGTTGTGTCAGTGTCAATGTGCGTGGTATGGTGTCCCCTCGTAAATGTAGTCTTGTTGTTCATACGTTGTCTAAGTGGGATGTTGTGTTTGTCCAGGAGTCTTATGTTTGTAATTTGTCGAAAGCTAAGCGTGTTCAGGACGCTTGGCCGGGTCAATGTTTGTGGAGTTTTGGGGGTGTGAGGAGTACAGGGGTTGGGATTCTGTTGAATGATAAGTGTGGTCTGAAAGCTAAGGAGGTGAGGAGGGATACGGAGGGTAGAGTGGTGAGTGTGTTAGTGGAGTCGAATGGAGYGCGTGTGACTTTGTTGTGTGTGTATGCACCGGATGGAGCGAATGTGAGAGAGCGTAAGGAGTTTTTTCRTGGGTTGTATCAGTATGTRTTTCCTGCTTCTCGTGTCGTGCTTGCTGGGGATTTTAATTGTGTGCTTAGGGATGTTGATACCTCTTGTAGGTCGGGAACAGTTAGGGGTGGGTCGGCGGAGCTTAGGGATTTTTTGGAGGAYTGGGATCTGGTGGATCTGTGGGTTAAATTTCATGGGAGGGCTTCCATATTTACCTGGGTGGGAAATGGGGTGGGTTCTCGTTTGGATAGATTTTATGTGTCGAGGTGTCTTGTGTCGTCTGTGTATGTGGAGCCGTTGGGGTTGTCGGATCATGATGGTGTTAAGTGTCGGTTTGTTGGTTTGTTGGTTTGGGGGAGGGCGTGCCGAGGGGTCGTTGGAAGTTCAATAATGTTTTTTTGAAGGATGGAAAGTTTGTGGATGGGTGTAGGGCGTGGTTGGAGGAGTGGTTAGGGGAGTTGGATGATGATGAAGACGTGTGGGATGTGTGGCCGAGGCTGAAGGAGGGAATCAAGGGGTTTTGTGTGGATTATGGGAGGGAGAGAGTGAGGTGGAGAAGGGTGAGAAGGGATGGGATGACGAAGAGTATCATTGGGTTGAAGAGGAGGTTGGCTGCTGGGGAGTTGGTGGGAGATGAAATTTTGAAGTTGGAGGCGGATTTGAAGGCGTTGGTGTTGGAGGATTTTGAGGGTGTGAAGGTGAGGAGTAGAGCCGAGTGGATTGAGGCTGGAGAGAAGCCTACTAGGTTTTTCTTCAGTCTCATGCGAGAGAGGGAAAAAATGAACAGAATGGAGGTTTTGAAGGATAATGATGGTTTGAAGTTTCGGATCAGGACGGTATGTTGGATGTTGTTGAAGGGTTTTATAGGGATTTGTTTAAGAGGGAGGTTGATGTAGGTGTGCAGGACGATTTGTTGGACAAGGTTGAGAGAGTGTTGAATGATGAGGAGAGGCAGAGTTGCGAAGGGATGTTATCTGTGGATGAGTTGAATGGAGCTTTGGTTGGGATGTCGTTGGGGAAGGCGCCGGGAGAGGATGGTTTGTCTGTTGAGTTTTATCGTTGTTTTGATGATTTGTTGTTGCCGGTGTTGTGTGATGTTGTTCGTTTATCTGCCTGTTGAATGTCGATTACAAGTTGGTGGGGAAGGCGTTAAGTTTGCGGTTGAGGAGGGTGATGGCTGTGGTTGTGGGTGAAGATCAGACGTGTSAARTKTTGGGTAGGTCGATAGTTGATAACTTGTGTTTGGTGAGGGATGTGTTGGGCGAGGTGGAAAGGATGAATGTCGGGGGCGTCGTTGTATCGTTGGATCAGGAGAAGGCGTTTGATAGGGTGGATAGGTTGTTTCTTGGGAGGGTCTTGAAGAGGATGGGGTTTGGAGAGTGTTTTTGTAGCTGGGTGTTGGTGTTGTATAATGGGGCTTGCTGTAAAGTGTTGTGTAATGGGTTGTTGACTGGGGAGGTGTGGTTGGAGAAGGGGATAAGACAAGGGTGCCCTCTGTCCCCTATGTTGAATGTGCTGTTTGTGGAAGTGTTGGCGTGTTATATTCGTAGTATGGAGGGAATTAATGGGTTTTTAGTGCCGGGTGCGGGAGGTGGGGATTCAAAGTTGGGCCAGTATGCTGATGATGTTACTTGTATTCTGAGGGATGGGAGGTCTCTGGAGAGGCTGTTGGATGTTGTTGAGTATTTTGGGATGGGGACTGGGGCGAGGTTGAATAGAGGGAAGTCCGAGGCAATGTGGGTTGGGAGTTAGAGGGGTAGGAAGGATAAGCCTTGTGGATTGAAGTGGGTTGGGAAGATGAAAGTGTTGGGTGTGTGGTTTGGTGACAATGTGAGGGATGAGAACTGGGTGTCGAAGGTGGAGAAGTTAAAGAAAGTGTTGGATAGATGGAAGGGTAGGAGATTCACGTCGGGCTAGCTATGCTCGAAAATGTCTCATGAAATTCAGCCAAGAAGGGCGTGGGACGAGTTCCATGGCGGGCTCATTTTAAAAACTACACAAAAATTTTTCTATTTTTCTACTGTCCCTACCCCCCAGGGAAAGGTATTTGCCTGAAAAATGGCGGCAGAATTGAAAACTCCGTAAAAGCAGCTATATTTTGGTATAATTTCACATTACCATTATGGAATCCTCGCCAACACAGAACGTTCCTAAAAGGTATGCATTTTTGGTCACAATTTCGGATGAAAAGAGTTTTTTTTTCGTGGTTTTTATYAACAAAAACATCTCTAACAAGTCTAAGCTTTCCATTGATGTATAAATATGTATATTAGTCCTCAGAACTCTGAAACTTCTATCAGAGAAACTGCCGAGATCCCTAGTCTTATTGAGGATGTAATGGAGAAACATGATGGTTCTATTCGCAATCGAAAAGGGCATTTTAACATCGGTATGTACGCTAAAAGGAGGAAACTGATGATGGAACAACTTGTAGATGAAAAAATTGCTGCTAATACTCATGTGAAGTGTTTACAAAATAAAATGAATTATCTGTAACGAAAGGTGGGTTCAATTAACAATTATGATAAGAAAATTATATAAAAAAAGTATTTTTTTTTTGAGATTTTAAATAATTCATAATTAACTGTGTTGAAATTTCTTTTATATATTCTTGTAATCATGAAATTTGTATTGTAAAAAAACATGTTTATTTTGTAGAATATAATTATTTAAGTAAGTATTAATTTACGATTATCTGATAATTTGTTTGTTATTTTTACTAGGGCGATGACCTAGAAGAAGATATTCCCCCTTTAAAACAAAAGCAAAGAATGCCAAACTCAGCAAGCAGTCTGGACAAAGAAAATAGTGATTTACTACAATWATCAAAGGCACAAAGTCATCGACGACGAAAAAGAACACTTGATGTATTGAGGGWTGTACACTGTACCCCAGATACTAGCAATGATAAAGTATTTGTTTTGAATGGAATGTGGTCAACATTAGAACGTATTCGCAGAACCCACTTTTTAAATGTTAATGAGTTTTGCTAATATTTTAATGAGATTGGCACACAAGAAACAAAAGAGCAAAAACATGCTTGAGTGATTTCAAAATATTACTATTTTGAGCTCAGTTCAATAAATACACAATTTCAAAGGGAAACATTTTCATTATTAAAGTTAACCAATTTCAACAGTTATTGGCTACAAGATTGAAAATTCCTTATGTTTTGAATGCTAACAGATCGTTTGTTTTAAGCGGTTCATAATGTTCATAAATATTATATTTGGCACAAATAGGCGATTTATGTTTTGATAGTCGAATATATTGATCCACTTAGCTCGCGGTCACGTAGCGTTATTTAACCACTGGCTGTATACCGGTATTGTATAGTCATATGATTTTGTGCAATACGCCCTTATATAGTTTATCAAATTGTTATCTAAAAATTGGCCAATCAGAGGCCCYAAGGTAGGGGCAGAYRATAGAATACACTGTGCCTAGTAATATCACTTGGACTTCACTGACGCCAGGCAAGGTTGGTTCTTTTGGTCTTCAACAAATCAGGTTTTTTTCTGTACTCTTGTTCTTTTCGCATTTCTTGTTGTCACAAACTCGAGGTAAGTGACTCCTTTCTTTTTTATTACTATTTTCCTCGTTTGCTATTACGGCTTTTTCTTCTAATGGGGGGCGTTCCCAAGGTACTTATTCTCGGCCATTCGTTTGTTAAACGGCTAAAGAAAGACCTTGGTCGTGGTTTTGATCCACGAACACATCCCACATTTTGTCTCTCTGGGGTGGCTGAAGTCTTTATGTACGGGATAGGGGGTCGWACAGCCCGAAAGCTTCGGCTTCATGACCTCCACGTGGTTAGCAGTATTAGGCCTCAAATCGTGATTCTCGAGGTGGGGACAAATGGTTTAACCACGATGCCTCCCGAGGTTGTTGGTTCAGAAATTGAGAACTTAATTGTGACCCTGAAAACGTTGAATTCCGTGGAGCTAATCATACTTTGCCACGTCATTCCGCGCGGGATGTCTGCTCCCTACCCCGCTATGTTTTGGGAGAAGGCTAAAATTCTAACGCAGTACTTGACCGTAGTTTTGGAACCGATAGATGGGGTTTTCTGCTGGTGCCACAGAGCTTTTACTCTCCCCGATTTACGTTTTTATGATCGTTTTGGGGTCCATCTAAACGCAGAGGGACAGTACTTGTTATACCGAAGTTATCGGGGGGCGATCATGCATTCCYTGCGTCAGTGGAATACTGTGTAATTACCTGGTGTAATAAAAATATTCTTGCTTGTTTGTCGGCGAATCTTTAATAATTATACTTATCTATTCACTTAAATCATTCATCCTTTGTTCTTGTGGCGAGATACCATTGCCTTGTACCCACTGCGGTTGATTTTTTTATTACTTTTAGTTGCACGTTTACGTGCTGTAGTTTTCAAGTTCAAGGGATTGTTGGCCACTGCGGCCCCCCTTTTGATTGGCGTAGGAATGGCTACAATTGCGTCGACAATGTTGTTTGTCTGACACGGCCATTACCTTGCTTGTTTTMTTTGTGCTTATGAATGTTGTAATAGATAACTAATCTTTTTGGTTTGTTTGTGTCATTTCGTTGTAGTTTCCTTTTCACTTCAGTTTGACAGTATGCTTCGCCAATCTCCACATCTCCAGCGTAAGCGAGCACAACGGCCGAATGCTACCCCGACCAGATCTGGGCCAGCGCCAAAACGTCGTCCGCGGAATGTTCCACGTGAGGTGCCCCCGCCACCAGACACGCCCAATGCTGATAACCCAGAGATAAGCGAGGCGATGATAAGCCGATTGGCCGTTGCTGTGGCAGAGCG